CTTTTTTTTTTATTCTGGGATTTATTTACCTTCTATAATTGAAACTTTGTTGCTTTTGGAGCTGTTGCTTTCAGAACTCAGAGCGCCGCGGCAGTTGACTCCACAAAAACTTAACTACTGATAGCCTATTGTTAACTGGAAGCCTTACCAATAACATAAAGTCAATCAATACATATTTTGTATGTTATATGCATTATGTACTGTATCCTTACAGTAAAACAAGCTAGAGAAAGGAAAATATTATTAAGAAAATAATAAGAGAAAATACATTTACAGTATTTGATTAAAAAAAATCCAGCAATAAGTGGACCCATGCTCCATAAACCCATGTTGTTCAAGGGTATATTGTATTCAGGGACTTGTTAAGTGAATAAATGGGTGGATGGTCATAATGAATGGTACTACAAGGAATGTTCCTGGTTGGGGTCTCTCTGAGAGTCAAACAACCTATGTCCCTGAAGAATGAACTTCTAAGATTTTGTAGTAATACTAGAGGCTCAGTGCACGAAATTCGTATATGGGGGGGAGGTCCCCTCAGCCCAGCCTGCACCCACTCCAATCTGGGACCCTTTGGGGGATATCCCTAGGATTGGGCCTAAACCGGCAGCCGGACATCCCTCTCACAATCCTGGACCGCTGGTTCCTAATTGCTCACCTGCCTGCCTGGTAGCCCCTAACTGCCCCCCCTGCTGGCCTGGTCACCCCTCATGGCCCCCCTGCTGACCTGGTCACCCCACGCAGCCTGCTGTTCGCCCCCCCTGCCGGCCTGGTTGCCCCCAACTGGCCCCCCACCAGCCTAGTTGCCCCTCACTGCCCCCTGCCAGCCTAAATGCCCCCAACTGCCCTCCTGCCAGCCTGGTCACCCCCAACTGCATGCCCTGCCAGCCTGGTCACCCCTAATTACCCCCCCACTGGTCTGGTTCCCTCTTACTGCCCCCCTGCCAGCCTGGTCACCCCAAACTGCCCCACCTCTGACAGCCTGGTCACCCCATGCAACCAGATTGTGCAGTCATTTGGTCATCCCTCACTAACCCCTCTGCTGGCCTGATTGCCCCACACAGCCTGCTTGTTCAGTCATTTGATCATCCCTCACTAATCCCCCCCCCCCACCGGCCTGGTCATAGGCAGCCATCTTGTGAGGGCATGAGGGTTAATTTGCATGTTACCTCTTTATTATATAGGATGAAAGGAAGACACAAATTCTAACAAGTCTGAATTTGTATTCTAATTCTGCCATTAACTATCTATTCAACCAAGAATAAATAACTTGAACATCTAAGAATCATTTTTTTTC